TGTCTTGCCCAAGGACACAACGACCAGGACAGAGAGCCCAGGGATCGAACCGGCGACCTTCCGGTTACAGATGCGATTCCCAACCCCCTGAGCCACGGTCATTACCTTAAGGCTCAGCAACATATTTTTTAAATTATTTCTCAATTAACAGTTTTCGGGATGGAAATAGAATGAGTCAAACTGTAGATGAGATATTGTAAATAAACTGGCGACATACCACAACCTTGCCAAATACCTGAACTGGTTTTAGTCAGTTCCCTTAGCTGGAAAATGCGACCCTGACAAATACACCAACAACCTGAGATCGACACCAGAACTCAGAGCCACAGAAACACAAAATCAACCCATTTCATGAGGCGCCAATTCTCACTGGGCATTAGCCATTCCTGTAGACCTCCTACAGAGCTACTTAGCTTTCATGAGAAGAATCAAGCTAGACAGCTTCTCAATTGTCTGCCTATTTTAAAATACCTGGCTTATAGATGGACTGCTTTTTTGTGACACTGGAATAAGTGACACGCAAAAAGATCATAAGTAGAGCTGGGGAGCAAAAAAGCGAGAGAAGAGTAAGTGGAGCAGAGTAGAAAGGCAGGAAAGTAGAAAGTAACAAGGACGATGAAAAAGGTTACCAATTAAGCCTCATGTCCATGTGCCACCAAGGATTGAAAAGGTTTTGGGAAGAGATCATTTTCCACAAAAAGTTTTCACTCGCGCTTGTGACTGTGAGTGACTGTGACAGGCTATAAAGTTGTTGGGTAATTTCTTGACAAGCTGATCCCTCATTTAGCCTCAGGGTTTGTAGGTGCCCCTGAACAAAGTACCTGGTTCATTTCTCTACTTGCTCCTGACAACTAGCTCGAAATATGATCCAAGGTGAAGTTAAACTTTTAATCTGCTTTTCTCTCTGCTCTATTTTGTCACATATACTGAGCCAAAATGCATACAGCAGATGCACAAGAATATCTTAAAACAGCTTTATGTGCGCCGTGAAAAACAATATTTGCCTAATAAAATTCAGGAGTGTGTTTTGTTTTGCAAAAGGATTGTAAACTAGTGAATGCTAATGTGGTAAGGAGCTTTTCTTTCAGTTCACCTTGAAGATGACATGTAGCACTTGTTTGAAAAAAGTCCCCAGGCAGAGAGCTTTATGCAGCAGGAAATCCGTAAAGCAGAGGTGGGATCAATCAAAGTACCCCCCCACTATTTTGGTTCCTAACTCGGAATAATTGGAAGGTGGCGGTGAGATAAATATAAACGCCACTCTGGGAAACACACATAGCGTCAGATTATACAAAGTGAGATTTTTGCCCTGAGAATTTCCACTGTGTTTGTCAGAATGTAAATGCAGCTTAAAGTGAACAGGTGTATCTTCTCTTGTACTGACATTGTTTATGACAGTGTGATACTAAGTCTAAGCAACATTTTAACAAAACCGTATGGGTAGAAATCCTGCAAAGCAATAAATCACCGAAACTGATAAATATGATCAAATCTTCAAGAAACAACTCAATTTTCGTTTTTTTTTTCTTTTTTTCATTTCTTTTGCATCTGCAGTAAAGTGAAAAAATAATTTTGGCGTAGATGTTGTGGGACTTCCCTACAGTTCTGCACATGGATCGAAAGCATAAGGACATTGAAGCACGAAAGTAGAATCACAAACAGAACAGAACAGACTGGAGCTTGATGTGGGTTACAAAGTGGCTTGCACGACAACTGTCAGCAGGCTAAAGCAATGTAAATAAAAGGGCTTACTTAAGATTTTACCAACATGATCAGTGGTCAGCTGATGTCAGCTGGAATTGAAACCAGCTGATGAGATCAGCTGTTTGGTCTCAACTTTGTAGCCATCTATGCTCAATCTGAACTAATGTTCTGATCAATTTAGCTGAAGATGCTGTCCAGGACACTGGGAAATTATTAACAAGATTATTAATTAAACCAAATTAAAAAAATAATGCATTTCAAAACCTGACCCTTCTTTGAGGTATTTTTAATTAAGGTGCTGCATCTCAAGCTCTAACACAAGCCGATGTCTCCCAAAGAAATGTGGTCTTTTTAGCTGTATTAGAAGAAAAGAGCCGGTGTAGGATTAGCATAATACTATGACTTACTGGGGTTGGGGGGGAACAAGGTGCAGCTTTTGCAGTGGATGATCTCCTTGACAACCGGTACGTCTTGGGAGAGAGGTGCAGGTACCATACCGAGGCCGGGCATCATTGGGTTCATGGGGGTAATTCCAGCCATCATACCAAGGCTAGGGTCAAAATCTGGAGGCAGGAGAGAAATATGAATGAGCTCAAACAGTAGTTTCCTTCCAAAGGGAAAAAGTAACACCTACACAGTAACAATAAACAGAGTTGCACTGAATAACCAACCTTTGGTCAGATATCACCTCAGCCCATACTAAATCTTTTAAGTTGCATTCACATTGCGTACTTATTCCCTGAGTGATTCTCTGTCAACAACAGTGACACACAAGCAGCCTACACATAATGGAATACACAGCCATGCATGAATAAATAATCTTGCAAACCACATGCATATTTCAAGAAGTTTTTACTGAGTCATTCTTTCTCTGTCACCCCTGTTGTTTGAATGATGAACTTACAGATAATGCAAGTGGGTCTACATATCAGAGCAGCTTTATTTACAATGCTGATTCACACTGGGGCTGGGGAACATGGACACATCTACTCTCATACTGAAACACAGGCAAACACTGCACTTTTTTGTGCATACTAGTCTCAATATGGAGCTTTATAAAATTGAAATGATGCTCCTCACCACATCAATGTGTCAACATCATCTGCAGAGGATCTGGAGTTTACAATTATGCCGCGGGGTGAGTGAAGCTTTTGCATTTGTGCATGCACATGCAAGAGCACTGCTCACAAATCTGTCACAAAAGGTTATATGCAAAACGTGATGCTCGAGATACTGTATGTTTAAAAAAAGTGACACTAGTTAAAACTGTTTTGCAGACGGTGACATTTACTGATTGCCAGACATGTTGGTCACCAGCGGAATCAGGAAATCCATAAATTAACCAGCAAAATAATGAATCTGAGACATCTTACAGCAAACTAATTTCTGGGAAAATTTAATGTTTTTCCTTAGTTTATTTGTAGATATGCAGATGCGGTCCTATCAGTCAGCACAGTGGGAGGGTTCAGCAGAGCAGACAGGAGGAGTGTGGATCCCCACAGTGTTCGATATCCAACAAATTAAAAAGAAATTAAACGACATTTAATAACCAAACTGTGTAAAATATATAATGAACCATGAAATTACTAAAGAAAGTATTCAAACTCGACTAATTAATTTTCAGTGACAGATTTTTCAGAACATGTCACAGACATGTCAAAGTAAGGCTCTTCAAAAGATGATGTAACAGTTACTGTTTCTGCTGATTAATCTGCTTCTACTAAAATCAAACACTGACAAAGCAATACAGTTCATCTGACGTGTAACATCCTGCAGGCATCTTTCATCTACTCCTTAAACACTATTGTTTATCTTTCTTGCAAACAAAGTTAAAGTTACAATCTGGTAGCATGTTGTGCTTTTAAAATCATCTATTGTTAACCACATGAATGTGTAATGTGTCAGTCGTTTCCTTTTAATTACAGGTTAATTACTGTGTACTACTTCTATGACAACCACTATTTTATGACATGGCAAGGCAATCAAAATATTTGCTTCTGACTTATATAACAGGCTTGTTCTAAAGGCAGCAGGTGTTAAAAGCTGTTGAGTTATCGTCTTAACTGCTTCTGATTTTTGATGAAAACCCAAAATGTCTTCGTCATCTTTAAACCATTTGCTGGAGGTCACTGTGTTCTTCTTGCTGCTGAAGACAGTCCTTTATAACTGGGGTAGTAGTCATGATGCAGACTTAATTTGGGGACTATCAGATTCATCAGATGCCTCATAGGGCTGTGCCATGCTGTCCACAATGATAGCAGTATTTAAAAAACAACAAAAAACCATGTCTGAGAGCAGTGTGCCAGCCTCTGATGACAATTTAAGGCCTAAAAAAAAAAAAAAGGAGCTGCTTCAATAATATATAGGGGGGTGGCTACAAGAGGTCAGACCTCCAACAAAGCCCCATATTTTACAAAATGTATAAGGAAACTCTTCCTGGTAAAGATGGAAATAAACCCGTTCCACCACTTAAGGCAAAAACACAGCATTGACTACAACCAGCCTATTGAGGCATGTGAGGAGGAGATAGGAGCAGCTGGTGACTCAACAGGCAGTTGCTGGAGCACTCGCTAGTAGCAATCCAAATAACAAAAAGAACAAACAGCGGGGACTGATGCGGTTACGGTGGAAAAGAATGGCTTTAAGCAACTAGTTAGAGAGCTCAACACAAGATCCCACGCAGAAAACACTTCTGTTTCAATTTTACTATTCTATGCAGGCTCCTGAAGAGTTACAAGGTTAAGCTAGTATAACAACAATTAAAGTAAAAAGCTGAGCAGGTTTATTAAGGAAACACTTCCTAGGTTACCGTTCTGTATCACTATTGGACTATAATGCTACTGCTGGCACCTGCTGGCAATACAGTTGCACTTTAAACGAGCTGTTTGCTGTTCAACAGCAAAAAAAAAGAAGGCTGGAAAATGACATTCACTTTTTTCCACTAATAAATGCCACTGCCTGCAAGCTGCAGTCACCTTATTTCAATATCATGAACATTATCACAGATTTCCTCTCACAATATAATCGTGATATGTTTTTGAGGCGATATCGCCTGCCCCTAACGGGTAATAATGTAAAACAAAAAACCCTTTTGCATCTACCTTGGCAATTTAAAATATAAAACGGAGATGTCTCGCTTCAAATACCACGCTTTGATTTAATTAAATGCACATTAAACAGACATGTCACTGTAGTGTCAACCCTTAATATCTCAGTTCTCTCATTGCCACCTCTGAGGTCCACGTTTCACACAGCATACTTAATGATGTGAACAGACAAGTCATCCATCCCACATGACATGATCACGGAATTAAAACTGACAGTTTGCTGGGATATTTCAGCTCCTCCTGACATGAAACATGATGCAACTAACTTTCATTGTCGCTGCAGTCTTCATGTAACTGCACTGTGTCGTTCTTACAGTACCTTTGGGTCCAACTCATGTTTATTGAATCCTGATCTGTAATCGGGAAATTTCAGCCTCTGATTCACCAACACTTCCAGTAAAACTACATCGACGCATAACTTGCACTCACTTGCATCCAAATGTCAAATGTCTTTTCACGACTTGCTGCTTCCAGGCAATTAAATTCCCCCGTCTCTTAACCAATTCGGAATTAACCAAGTTGATGCTGCTTTGAATAAACAGTAAAAAAGAAAACAGAAACATAATAAATTTAAAAATGGTTATGGGGAAAAAATGTCATTATGAAAACAAATTAAGTCCTGTAATTTTATGTTAAATTATGAAAATAAATAAAATGTATTATATAGTAATGAGTTGAGTTTTAATTATCTCCTGAATAAATTTGCAAATTATTGTTTAATTACAGCCATTCATATTTATTTATTTAATGCTGAGCACTTTGGGGGCTCCATATACGATGAGTCACAGTTTACAGCAATGCAAATAAATCACCGTGATAGGGCCCACCACCAGAAAATAATAGTAGCATGTATTATCTGTGATCTGAAGTCTGCTCATTTGAATCTTCAATAGCAATAAATCCATTGAGGAAAATATTATTTACTGTTCTCGGGTCTGCAGCATTAAGTGGAAATAAATGGCTATAGATACATTTCCTCATAAGTGATTCCCTCTAAATCTACTGTAAGAGAGGGAAGTAAAGGAATTAAATGACACTTAGTGAAGGCGAATAAAGAAATATGCATATTATCGAAGGCTCAAAATAGGTCCCTTGAGCAGGGGAGGGTGTAATAAATATGTTAGGCTGATAAAAATGGCTGAAGGATAAAAAGGAAATAGAGGCTGGATACTGAAAAAACAAACCCCCAAAAACACGGCCTCAAAAAACTAAAATGAGCAAAGCGAGCTACATCAAGGGAAAATGGATGGATGTGTGCTGATGACCTCAGTCTCTAACCAGGTGTCACAGTGAGAGGAAACAGGTGATAAGGAGCCCTGTTGCCAGGCAATTGATGAGTTCTACATGTTAAAGTGAAGAAAAGGAAGATGGAGAGCAGCAAGAATGATAAGAAAAGGTTGATAGAGGATGGGGTGGTGGTGCAACAGCCTGAAAGCCAAACAATATGTCAAAAAGAAAAGATTCAGAACTTCAGGACTGCCCAAGCTCCACTGTCCCCGTTTTAAAACAAGGAAACATGCTGGTGAGTTTATAACATATTTTGATACAAATCAAACTAGATCTCAGCTCATATGGAGAAAACGATGTGGCTGCATCAGGCTGCAATTTCACTGCAGCGCCGTTCATGTTCCCTCTAGACAGGGTGAGAAAATGTGAGCCTATGAATTTATCCTTAACCATTAAATGCCTGAGACCTGAAGCACGCATAAAGCAGAATCAAGTGTAATAAAGGAGATTTACAGCTTCCCTCCCCATCTCCATTTTTAACAATACAGGTCAAGGAGCACATTTCATCATGAATATAAACACACATAACTAACATATTTCCTCCTATGCTACTTACAGTCTACCCTGTAAATGGACATGGATGAAAATTTAAGCTTTTGTTTTTAGGATCTGCTGTTTTGTCAGAATTTACACTTACATTAGATCTTATGCACCACTGTTTATGCCTGCTACAGAAAATATGTGTCAAAAGTCTCACTCCTACTAAGGTAAATACTACTACTACTACTACATACTGTAATGGAGGTCATGTGAGCATATTTGGGATGCTGATTGCAGATATCAGATTAAAAACAAAAGAAAAAAAAAAGAAATTTGGCACACTGTAACTAAGATGTATATTAAAATATCCACAACCTGATAACTACACGCAATTATCTGCATTGTAAGACAAGAAAAGCAAAAAAAACCCCAAAAAACACAAAGAACACACAACCCCAAAAACAATACAATCTCACCAGACTATTACAAAATCATGACCAGCTGTTCCAACCACAGTGTAAATAATAAGCAGAATCTGTCACACAGTTGAAGGAGGAGATCTCATCGATCACACAAATCTAAGCTGGAAGACCACAGTTCGTGTGTTGTTTGCAAGCTCTGCTTTCACTCTTTGTTTGGTTACGTTCAGGCACCAAAACCATTTGAAGTGCTTAGAAAATATTGGTGGT